CGAAACTTCGGGTGGTATGACAACTGTCTTCTCAGGAGTGGAACTTTGAATAAGATGAGTGAACTCTGGAGTTTCTGGAATTCTTTCTGCATCATCTTCAGTCGACTCAGTGGAAATCACCAACTTTCGAGCCTTCTTCTTCTTCTTTGACAACTTCTTTGCCATATCCTCAGCCCTCCTTTTCTTCGACACGGAGAGAAACAGGTGCTGGTACTTCTCTAATTAACACACCTTGATGTGTAATTTGGGGTTTTCGAAATCATTTGTTGTGTAGGAGACTTGCGTTTATGAGAGGACTTCGTTTTAATTCTTCGAAACATTCCTGTTTTCGAAGGAATGACAACCTTCTCTTGAGTTTCTTCAATGACGGGCTCAATCACTTGTGTTTCAGCAACATATACTCTAACAGTTTCAGACTTTTTCTTTGGAGATTTCGAGGATTTCGAATCTTGGTTTCTTTTCAGATGAAGCAGGATCAACCTTCTTTGACTTTTTAGACTTCTTCTCTTCTTTTTTTTTTTTTTCCTAGGCAACAAAATCCCAGTCTGAATAGTAGAATCGATTGTTTGCAAATAGGCCACTAAAACAGAATTCGTAGGATTAACCCGTTTGAGCATCGCATTTGGAATTCGAGCCACAGATGGGAAATCATCAGCATTATCTACAACTTCCTTCGGATAATGGTATGATTGAAAAGTAACTTTCTCTTCGTCATTTGGTACCATAATCCCTTCCTTATTATAAAAATACTGCAAAATAAGGCTCCAGTATCGTGCACACGAAATGCCATGAACTGCATTCGTATGTTCTACACCCTTTTGGAATTCCTTCCATAATTGTGTGGAATAATCTACTTGAAGATCATAGTATAGGCCTGCAACCATTGCATACACCTCCATCCTTCCTTTATCTAATCCAACTGTTCTTCCGGTTAAACATCGGAGAAAAATCCCAAATAAGAAATTCCATAGCCGAGGAAGACCAGATTTCTTAAAGTCACTTATCTTGGACAATGGGGGCTGATATCCCATCTCATTAAACATATGAACTATTTGTGGGAATGTGAAATCAACATAAGGAGGTGAATTCGGAATATCAAGAATCTGACAGAAGAGTTTCTTGGATAGCCTAACCTTTTTATCGTTCACCAGATGGAAAGTGATCGTATCAGATGCTTTATTGTAAGTTGCAGTGGATCCTGCTTGAGAAAGCCAGGATAATGGAACAGAAAAGAAATTGAACATCGCCGTGGATAAAACAGAGTGTTTCAGTGCAACAATGAGCATCTTCAATTCCTTTGGGTATTGAGAAACTTCACCATTCACGTAATAGTTAGTGGATTGAATCTTCATGACTGGTGCGGATGAAATATCTTCAGTGGAAGGATCGACATGAGCAGAAGACGCCATTGTTAGGGTTTGAGAATTTGAAAGATCAGAGAATTTAGAGAAATTTTGCTTTTGGAATGCGGAAACTGATACTGAACCCTTGAATCCCCTTTTATATGTAACCCTTAAGTTTGAATTTGAAGCGGGATGTGCATTTAATGATATCCGACGTGGCACCTTGAAAATCGGACCAGTACTGCGGAAAGGTAGCCATGCGTCAAAAAGAAACTGTCACATCTCCTTGAGAACCGGACAGAATACCATACGTCATATGTAGACAGCCTGTATTGTTATCCCCAAGCTGATTTGTAACCGTTAGAACCATTCGAATGGAGGCAGGGCTCTTTCACTTTTGGGATAAAAAGCAAAGTCATATGCCAGATGTTCGAAATCATCAGCCTGAGTTGGTATTACTCAGAACCTCAAGGATTTCGTGAGTGCAGTGTTCCAAAGAATATAGATAAGAAGCAATGATAAAAAAAATTTCGATTAGTGTGATGTCAAACAATTGACATAAAAGCAGGTTAAATTTCGGGCAAAGATTACTTCATTAATCATTAAGAGAAATGATCAATAGCTTGTGTAGGTTCCCGTGAATTACAATCGAATACTTTTTGATAAGTATCAAAGGGCTTCTTTTGAGAATACTTCGTGGGTAGGTTCAAAATTTCGTTACATGTCATCCTAAACATAAGGTGATAAATTGTAACAGAAAAGACTTGTTTGACCAGTGTAGTCAGTGACAAGTTGGCTTTGATAAATTTTAAAATGACTAGGACATTCGAATAAAACTCACACTTAAATCATATTCAAGAAAAAATTTGTATGCTGAATCTTGTTGGGTAACAAACATCGTGGGCTTCGAATGTTTGATCAAGACCACTCATGCTAAATGAATATGATTTGGAGTTTCGAATCTTGGTACAGAAACAAAAGTTTCGTGAATATCTGGAACATTGTTCCCCGTCAATTCCTTAACAAGAGTATGAAAATTGGGTTTCACTTTCATCACGGTCTCATGATGTCAGATCACAAACACTGATTTTTGATATGTCTAAGTCTCGATTGGTTTGATCAGAGACCTCTCGGACATATGTCTTCGTGTGTGATCGTGTAAGAATTTTGATGAAAAAGATGGATTTAAGACAAGAAAAGTACCTCTGTTATATTTTTGGACCAAACAGTAAACTCTTAACTCATTTTGAGAAGAGTAAGGTAGCTCAGAGACTAATGTGAATATAAGCCTGATTGGGAAGAAATTTTCATATGAAGAATTTCATTAAGGCTTTCCTACACACACATTGAGTCATTGGAGACTTTTGGACAACATGCAGCAGCATGCTTCTAGGGACAACTTAACTAGTTCAAAATGCGAAAAATATTGATCAATTCATACGAAAAAATTTACCTGACCCTAGAACTGCCAACATATTCCATCTTATATCTTCATGATATTCTGCAACAAAATAAAACTGAAAATATGTTTGTTGTTTTGAAGTTTTCGAAAAGTTTGAAATACAAAAAAAGCTTTTTGGATTTTTAATTTTTCAAAAATTTGAAATACAAAACAAAAGAAAATCTTTTTGGATTTTTGATTTTTCGAAAATTTGAAATACAAAACAAAAGAAAATCTTTTTGGATTTTGATTTTTCGAAAATTTGAAATAACAAAAAAAAGAAAAATCTTTTTGGATTTTTAATTTTTCGAAAATTTGAAATTATACTTGTTGCAAAACGCGAAATTTCATCATTCCCTGAGAAGTGATTAATATACGAATTCGAAGGGGTAGAAGTGTTGACTATGAACAGTAACCTCTGAATACCTCTGGATTTTTTATTTTTGATCTTTGCGTTTATCGTTTTCTTGCACTTTATTGTTTCGCATTTAAATTCGTCAAATAACAGGACAATCTGCTTCTACTCTTTTCTTATAATTAGATCTGATTGTGAATGATCAATCTGATTTTTAGACGAAACTTGGTAACAATAATAATAATAATTGAATTTATTATCTTGCGACATATCAACGTTTAATCGTCTAATATTAATCGTTGGTTGTTTGTGAAAACGTTTGGATATTTAATCATAAATATTATCTATCCATTAGTTTGTTTATCTATTCTACATAATTCATGATTAGTTCATCATACTAATTATTGGATTGTTTAAATATCAAGTATGAATTTCAACAAAAAGAAGTAAGACAAATTTCTATAAAGCTAATAAATAAAACGGGTATTTTTTCGATTTAAATCTATTAGAAAAAGATTATTCTTTTTGATGCAAAAAAAAATGATGTTAGGGTTGGAAATAGTTTAGATGTGCTCAAAAAGAGTAAGGTGCTGTTTGTTTTTTTATAAAAACCTTTTCAAACCACTTATTGCTGTGCGGCGCAGCACACGCGCAACACTTTCCCTTTCGCAGCAGTTTGTTTTTTGGAAGGCTTCAGATTACAAAACCTCTGCGCGTGTGCTGCGTGGCGCAGCACTTGACTTGCCTCTTCTAACCTCTTCAGCTTTCATTTTTTCCAAGTGTTTTTTTAAGAATTTTTGTATAACTTATTTTTTTTAACTTTGATTTTCTTAAATTTTTATTTACGGATGTGATACAATTTATTTTTATAGTTTCCACGATTTTTTTTAACTTGATTTTTTTAATTTTTTTACCGTTTCTATTAATAATATTTTCAATTTCAGTTGCATCTTTTTTAATGTGTGTAATTTTTTACGAACTTTGTAGACATCGTTTGCAATACTTTTTTTACTTTTTTATTATTTTCTTTTTTAATGTTTTTTAAAATTAGTTTTTTTTAGAATAAAACTATTAGCTTCTTTTACATTTTTTTAAGTTTTTTTTTTTTAAAAAAGTTTTATATTTTTTTTTTTTTACATGTTCTTTTTATTATTATTTCAATGTTTTAAGACTAGAATTATTAAATTTTGGTGTTGAGAACTATTTTCAGTTTATAAAATTAGTTTATTTAAATTTCAGTTTACTGCAACAGTCTGCAGATGTTAAAAAACAAACATGCTTCTTATTATAGGCTGCAGCCGTTTGTTCCACCTCTTCTGCTACAGAGGATTGCAGAGGTGGTCCGCAGACTTCATGAATTTTCGCTTCGAAAAAACAAACAACGCCTAAATGTCGATATTATGATCATAATATGCTGCCAAAGATCCGTTAATCGATTGATAACAGAATTCAGAATTTTAATGATTTGAGCAAATGTACTTTCATTTATAAATCTTCTCTTAATTCATACTTTCAATTTTTTTGAATTTAAAAAATCACCCATCAATTTATACAGAATGCATGAATTAGCAATGTACTTTCTCATTAATGGAGTTGTGTTCTTGTTTTTTAGCTTTTATGTACAAATAAAATAGCTTTATACTTTGGGTAATGTTTATCTGTTTCTGTTTTTCTTTTTATATTTTTATATCATAATTTAGGGGAAAAAAAATTAGTTTAATGGCTAAATAGATAAAATGATGAAAGTACATATAGTCAATTAAAGTATTCAACTCAAACAACTTGATTTTTGTTTAAACCCAAATATCCCCAACTTCTTTTCAAGATTTTTCATGCATTTAGTGTACAAAACAATTAATACATGCATCCAAAAAAGCAAAATCCATAAGTTTTCTCTCATATCAAAATTCAACATTGACTCTTTGACCATATGACAAATGTGATAAATCATAAAATCATTAAATCATTAAAAATTCTACATCAAAATACATATAAATATAATCATTCCTTCCACATGTCTGCAAACTCATCAGCCTCAAGTGGATTTGTCATCTCATGCATTTTTCTCCTTGTCTTTGCCTTAACCTTCATTGCATACTTCCCAGCCTTCTGTCTCTTCTCCAAAGATCGTATCTAATCATCAAGGGCAAATTTGTAAATTAGTATATAAATTCAAAAACACTTTAAATCCACCAAAAATAATCAAATAATCTTTTTTCGCACCTGATTTGGTGAAACATAGAATGGATTCTCATATAGAGTTGGACCTCCAAAACTACCACCAAATATCTTGATTGGATTTAAACAAAATCTTGGTCCAACCTGTAACAATTTTTTTTTTATAAATCTGTCAATTTTTATAATCTTACAAAATATTTAAACAAAAATATTACTACAAACCTCAATTAGTGTCATCTTTTCCAACCCTCCACGATTAATTTTATCTGCTCCAGTATGAGGACATGATATCTGTTTACATAAGATTAACAAAAAATAAAAATTGCAATTAAAAGTTTAAAACACTTGATATATTTTTACATAAAATCTTTATTAATTATTACAAACCTGGTAATTTCGGAACCAAATGTGGTCATCAACAATTGAGAACACAAAGACATGGTCATGGTAGGGCTTTGACTTTCTGTGTTCTTTAGGAGTTCCAAATATCTGTTCAAGTATAAATATATAAATAAACACCAAAATAATAAGGATTTGTTTGAAAGGAAGAAAAGGAGTAAAATAGATACTTGTGTGATCATTTCTTTCAAAAGTTTCCAATGAGGGTCTGTATCAAAGTTTGATGAAAATGTGAGAAGAGGTCTGGAGCCTTTGAGATGGTTTCCAGTGAGTTTTAACTCTTCCATTGTGTGAACTATAATAAAACATTAAGAAAATTAACAAACATGTTTTTTTTTTTTGTTGTTACGTTATATAAAGCTTCAAAAGAATCAAATAAAATTGGCTGATGTTGATCAATCACCTGCATTCACTAAAAACTTTACAGATGGACCATTAGGGCATTTGGACATCCACAAGTAAAGATCTTTGTGTTTTCTGCACTGAAATTGAGAATGAAAATGTTAACGAAGATAAACCATTGAAATCTGGATCTTTCTCTGATACATGAGATAGGTGTTGATGTTAATTGGTATGAGAAAATTACTGAGACATCAAAGTGACGATGTTGAAGAACTATTCAATGACCATGTTTTTAATAATGGATTCGTTTTTGTGATCGGATGAACAGCTCTTAAGTTCATAGATAGTAAAAACATGGAAAAAAAGAAGTAACCTCAAAGAAGAGACAAGAAGAACAGCTCTTAAGTTCAACAAGCTCGTTTAGGGTTGCTCCTTTGGTAGCCTTGGATTCAACTTTGTTATCTTTCTTGCAGTGAGGCAAAATTGATACCAAATTCAACATCAGATGCCGATACCTAATACGATTCAAAACCATCAATTCAAAGAAATACAAAGTCTCTAAGAAACAGGTTAGATACGATTAGTGGCATAAAGGAAACAAATTTAAAAAAAAAAAAAAAAAAAAAAAAAAAAAAAAAAAAACCATGTAACCTGTAATTGATGCGACGTGAGCAAGTTACAAGAACTTTCTCTCTGTTTCTAAACCCTGTAGTGGTTGTAGAGTCTTGTGTGTTTTCCGGCTTGTCTTTCCAACCAAGAAGAGTCCTTTTAGGTCTCTCCGGCGCCGTTTCATCCTTCTTCGCCGCCGGGGCCTCAACTTCAGTGTGCTTTCGCTTCTTTCCCATTTTGTTTTGCAATAGACAGAAGTGAAAGACTGAACAGAGTTTTGAGGTTTGATGTCGAGTGTCGACGCTTCGTTGAAACCTAAACCCTAATCAGTCGGGCAGGGTTTTAGTCGGGTCATTGATTAATAGAGAGACCATAATGATAATGGTTACGTATTTAATGGGCCTATTGGGCTATATTTTTTTAGTGTTGCTCGAGAATTTGGTTTGTGTCGGTTAATTTTTATAAACAAATCATTATTTATAATTTAAAACTTTAGTCCTTATAATATGTACAACTTTATGGATTTTGTCAAAATGTTTCATTATGTGTAGAAGTGGCCCCTTGAGATTTACTTCCATTGGATGTTAAGTTCAAAGTTAACTGATCATTTTTGCCCTTGTTTTCTCCGGTTTCTTCATTTCCATTCGTCTTATCTTTAACAACCCTTACGGGCGTTTGGTAGGGCGTAATAAAAGTGGAAAAGAATGACCCACTAAGAGGGAATGAAAAATTAACCATTTTGGTTGTGGTGACTTAATGTAACATCTCAAAAATACAGATAAAATTTTGTTTTTAAATTTCATTCAAAACATACGATAATCAAATCAAATAGTAAAAAGTGTATCATAACAACATTTTATCAGAGTACAAATTTCCAAAATCACATAATGCGGAAAATCGTAGGTGGATGGAGTGCGATCAGGCCGGGCTCTTCCCTTTCGAGCTGGAAGTACCTGAAACATAAACTGAAAACCGTAAGCACAAAGCTTAGTGAGTTCCCCCAAAATATTTGATACCATACAAACATACAGTCAAGCATACCTGGGTGCTTGCAGTCCCCTTCGGTATATTTCAACCGGATACAGTCAAACATATATGGGTACTTGCAATCCCCTTCGGTCTATTTCAACCGAATACTGAGTCTATTTCACCCCTACCACTACCACATAATATCATAACAAAAGAATCACAAAGGCATCAAGCAATTACAAACATAACAGACAATTATCACGAAGACAATCATCATACTACAAGCATAAATTAGTGGGTCGGCATTGGTGCCTTCGACCCACAGATACAGTGAAGGAAACTCGCCCCAGACTGAAGGTATCAAATTACACTCGAGCGGCTGACTCTCGAAATCCCCTCCCTAATTCGCAAGTATAAACCCATAATTAGAAATTAGGTCAATTATCTAGCTCGAGAGTCCAAACCCTAGTTCTTGACTTAAAGCAAAAAAGGGTTTCTTCACCCTTGCCTTATTGGGCCTCCCCCATCAAGGCCCAATACAAACTAGCCCAAAAAGGAAATCCAAGCCCAACTACAAGGCCCTAAGGCCCAATGTGGCCTAATAGCTCCTAAAATGGCCTAAAGCCCATAAATGTCCTACTACTATAGGTAGGCCTGAGGCACAAACCTAAACAAGTCAAAAAGCCTAACAAAACTCGAGCCCAAAAATCTCTTAAGCCTACAGACTACGCATGACGTACATGGATCGTACGTCCGACGTACGCTGATGATCCGGAATTGAGGCACTGGCCTAGTACGCGCATCGTACTCAAGAGTACGCCCAGTGTACTGGTCAGTCAGCCTAAAAGTGCTCAAAAGTCTTAACCCATTAAGCTTTAACGTCTAAAACTTAGATCCAAACTCATAAAAGTGTCTTAATCCATAATGTTGCAAACTTTATTGTAACGTCTGGTTCCTGGTACGTATTAATTATTAAATCTCTCATTTTTACAAGGCAACTCGACGAGTTGGTAGCCCAAAACTCGTCGAGGAGAGACTAGAAGGGACGCAGGTTTTAAGCAATCTACTCGACAAGTTGGGACCTTCAACTCGGCGAGTAGGTCTGCCAGAATGAAACCCTAATTTCGGGGTTTTGCACCCTATTTAAGCATATTAATCCCCACCTTATGGCCTCATTTCCAGCCTCCAAGTCCTAAACCCTAATCCACGAAACCCTAGAGCATTTTGTGAGTGTATGAGCCATTATTGAGTAACTTTTGTGTGTATTTGAAGCTTGAAGAAGAAGAATGAGTTAGAAGGTTCAAGGAGAAGATAGTAGATCTAGAGACTTCCTTTCATCCTCTTCATTTTCTGGTAATCAAGTGTCTAGCTTAGCTATTAGTTCATTAGATCTTCTTACTTCCATTTTATGAGGGTTTTGGTTCAAGAATCTTGATCTTTGGGATTTGGACGTCCCAAGTGGCTTACCTTCCAGATCTTTCATGGCATAAAGGTGCAAACTTTATGACCATGGAAGCCCCATGCAAGCTTAAAGACGTTATTATGGCCTTTTAAACCCCAAAAGGCCATGCATTGAAGAAAAGTCTGAGACTTTATGTGTTTATTTGGTGTCTAGGACCTAGATCTCGGTTTTCATGCTTTGGGTTGGAGTAATAAGGCTTTTGGACAAAGATCTATATCCTAAGGAACTAGGTTTTTAGCTAAACCCACTAAGTAGGATTATTAGCGGGTAAAGTTGTTTACCCTTAAAAAGGCATTGCCAGTGTGTAGATGAAGTATGGACTTTGGATATGGAGAGTAGAGGCTTAATCTGTTAAGATGGCCCTAACAAACAGAGGAACTCGACGAGTTAGGTCGTGTTGTCCCGTTTCAGCTCAAGGTAGAACTCGACGAGTCAGTGAAGGGACTCGATGAGTTGATTCGCCAAATCGCGACTATAAGCAACCAGGGAACTCGACGAGTCAGGAGGGTGACTCGACGAGTTAGATCTCGATTTTCAGGACCTTTGAGTTATAAAACTCGGCGAGTTGATAGATCAACTCGGCGAGTTGGGTAAACTTAGAATGTTGACTTTGACCAGAATGTTGACATTGACTAGGGGTAAAATGGTCATTTTACCCTTAGAAGGATTCTCAGTTTCTGACTAAGTAATTAATGTGAATGATAGTTGGGGAAGTCGTTGGAGCAGCAGTCGGAGATTCCTCACACGAGATTTCATCAGTCAGCTTGAGAAGTGAGTTTCCTTCAGTAGGAACGGGTCTAAGACACCAATGTCGACCCGTGTAAAGTAACTAAGTGTGGGTTGGGCCCGTATATTAGAACCATTATGTTAGTAGCTAAGTGTGGGTTGGGCCCGTACCTTAGAATTGTTTATGATTAGTAGCTAAGTGTGGGCAGGGCCCGTATCTTAGTGTTACCTGAGTATGTTTATGATCTGGTAGATTATGTTATACTTGTTGTCTGCGTGATACTGGTATGTATGTTTAGTTAGCGGAACGTGGGCGAGTCCCATACCTCCTAGCCAGCTGAGTGTGGGTGAGGCTCGTATCCTCTTATTTAACAGAGTGTAGGCGATGCTCGTATCTATGAGATAACTGAGTGTGGGTGAGGCCCGTATCTCATAGTTAGCCGAGTGTGGGCGGGGACCCGTATCTCCTTGAGTGTGGGCGAGGCTCGTATCTCCTAGCTGCATGTTATATGTTATGTGTATGGTATGGGGTAATTTGGGGAGACTCACTAAGCTTCGTGCTTACAGTTTTCAGTTTTGGTTTCAGGTACTTCCTGTAGCAAAGGGAAGAGCTCGGGATGATTGCAGTGCACACACCATTATTCAGCCTGGGATATTTGGACTCTGATATTTTAAGACATGATTTTGATACAGTACTTGTTATGATGATTTGAGATACATAACCTTTGATCTTTATTGTGATGATGATGAATTATGATTTTCTTAAATGATTATTAAAGCGAAATTTTTGGACCGTATTTTTGGGATGTTTCAAGTTGGTATCAGAGCCTTGGTTTGAGGGATTCGAGCATACTCTCGGGTGTGTCTGAACTCAAACTAAGGAATTTGTATGAAAATTTTCAAAAGAAAAATCATTTTTATTAGAAGAACTTTAAAAAGAGAAAAAGAACTTTGAAAAGAGAAACAGGTGTGGTGCATGCACTCAGCCGAGCTCAAGTAAGTACTCCCAAATTACCCATACAAGTTTATGTTATGATATGATTATGAGAACAACATGTAGATTAGGGCTAAGGATCTAGGAATGATGCCTTGTGTGCCTGTTATATGCGTATGAGAACTGCATGCTAGTTTAGGGCAAAGGATTTTAGGAAGGACGCTTTATATGCCTGTTGTATGAGCTTATTGAACTGTATGCTAGAACTGATTAGTCAGTAATATGGTGGCATGAATAGGATATGCATGATTTATGGTTACTCAATGCTCGAATGCTGCTTGCTTTGTGCTTTTAGGAGTCCTAGTTATCTTTAACTAACTAGTAAACGAATATGTTAAGTTACATATTACGAGGACTAAATAATTTCAGAAGGTTAGGTCTAGCTCTATTTCACAACTCTTGTCAGAGCCCAATCGTTGTAGGGTAGGACCTCTCATTCGAAGAATTATCTAGTCTTAGTGATATGTAATGATATTCGCGAGTTAGTTAGGGGGAGGCGACAGAGGCTTTTTATGGAGCTGATGGCGGAGAGTGGGTTGGTGATTACCCTAGGGCAAGCCTAGGATGATAGTAGCGCGTGAAGCAGTAGTAGTAGATGGGACTTGGTGGAGTCAAGGAAGTTATTGAGGAAAGTACGGATAGATGTGGAAGGTAGTATGGGCCCGTACTACTAAAAGCAGAGGATCCGTACTCGACTCAAGGAAGGCTGAGATGAATCCAGGGAACTTGTAGTATATGTGATCCCCCGAGATATGATTAGTATTCTGATGTTTGTTATGATGTGTTTACAGAATGGTTTATTACGCACTAGACCAGTTGGCAGTTCAGGCGCCGGTGAGGGATCAGGCTCGGGCTCTGGAGCCGGGTAGCTAGATGACCAGACGAGGGAGTTCATCTCCTCTGAGATCACGCGCAGTATTATGGATCAGACTCCTGTGATCTTCGGCACGATCAAGGAGGGTATTTTGGAGCTTATGGATGAGAGGTTGAGTGCTTTCCGCACAGAGGTGGCGTCCATGATGGGGTCGCGCACACTGACATTCAGGGAGGTTAAAGCTTGTGGAGCTCCCGATTACCATGGGGCTCGGGACCCCATTGCGAGCACTAGATGGTTGGCTGATGTCGCCAATGCATTCTGCACCAGCAGATGTCCCAAGGGGTAC